CTATCCCAAACCTATGCAAGAATAAAAAATAACACAAACAGAAAACCTGAAGACCTGCCATAGTATTATTCCTTACAATCCATGTCCAAACCATAAACATTTGTGTGCCCTTTCCAAGCTATGGCAGTCACTGGATTCATGTAAATCCATTAGAGGTTCAATCAAAGCACCGGTTAAGATTGAAGACTGAAGGATTCCATGTCCATCTTCTGTTTTGCTGAGAAAAAAGAAACATGTTGAAATTAAGTCAAAACACGAGCTGCACAATGCCCCACGTGTGAGGCAGACATAAACTTTGCAAGCCAAAATTGCAACTGGCAACGTTAGCGAGGTCCTTGGCAAGCATCTTACAGCTCTGAAGGACATCCGACTTTGGGCTCTTCAATCATTCCACAAACACTAACAAGACAGGTTTTTCTACCGATTTGTCTTGCAACCGATTGCCAAGACAAGCTTTACCAGCAGTACGTTAGTACATGTCCAGTCACCAAGCTTTTTTTGCATACGGATTTTGCACTGTTTAACAAGGAGTCCATCCATTGCTTCAGTCTGTATCTGCTTTATGATTTATCTCGAAAATATACCTGTCATCCACAAACAACATTCCTCTGAAATACACCTTTCCTATGGCCCTGCTCCAGGGAGACCCAGTTTACCTGAGATCTTTGATTCCCTGAGGAGCAGCGATGTGGGACTCTGCTGGGGCGTCTGGCCTGCAGTCTCCGCGATGGCCTTGCAAACGCCACAGCAGCAATGCACTGAAGGGAAGCCAAATGGCGAGGCCCCGCCTGCCCCAGGCAAGCTCAGACTCTTTAGGAAGCCACTACTGGAGTGAAGCATTGGTGTTTGACATGTCTATCAGCTAACCAAAATAGCCACTTACAGTTGAAAGTACATTCATTAACACTACATGTGATTAGATTTCCACATTTCTCTTTAAAGATGTTTGATGTTAATAAGGGATGTACGGATCCCCTAAAAATATGTGATCCATGTCGCACTCAGTCTTTGTTTACAGTCTTTATTTTCATTGCCTTGCTGGTACTTTTTATGAATGCAGAAGTACACTTGGGATTCTCAGAAATCAGCACAGAGTTGTACTTTTTAAGTCATCTGCACCGGTGCGTGGGGAGTTTGCTCTTTGACACTGGCACGTTCCAGGTCCGTCAGGGTCTACTGAACACCACAGGACAGCCTACACACACTCGACCTCCTAGGGGCACCCTGAGACTTCGCTATTCTGTCTGCTGGTCACGCCGTACAAACTGGTAATTCACTGCCATCTCCTGGCAAACTACTGTTCAAGGGTATCCGTACAGATTGAAGTAAAGCACTGACATAGATGCTACCTAGCACCAGCCTGACTAGAGAGAAATTCCACTTACACCTGCAAGAACGCTTAATGTAAGAGAAGCATCTAAAAGTCCTGCAGGGACCCCACAGGCTCCATCCCTTCCCCTCCCTCCCCAAATTGACCAACATTTCTCCAGAACTTCAGGCCTGCTCCTGACGTTTCCAGTTTACACAGGAACCCAGTGAGAACAGCAGCTCACAAGAGGATGTTATGTCCACACCTGAATAAGCAACAGAAGGAATGGCATCCAGCCAGCATCCGATCTTAAAGCTTTTCCATTATAAAAAATAATAACAGAATTAAAAACCTGGAAGTGGAGTTGTTTAAACAACAGTTGCTATAAGTGATTTTACTCATTTGCCTACAGCAAAACGGTATTTGTCTGCTACTTTAAAGGGGAAATCAGGACCTGAAAAATTCAGGTGAACACTTCCATAGAACCTGATGTGCTTTCTCCAAAAGAAAATTCAATATTCTCCATGCCACTTCCAGAGAAACAGAGGGACTGAAAAAAATTCTAAGCAAAACTACCTCAATAGTATAAGATGATTGTGAGCACCTGAACTTGCCTAAGGGGGTTTAATTTAGGCAGAGAGAATGGAACCAAGTAAGGGACCACTGATTAAATTCCCTTACAAAACGAAGCCAGTAGCCATCCAGGTGGCATTTAAGCATAGCTATAAAGGCATTTCCACACTATTAGCTTTTTGCAACTTGAAACTGGGTCAGTTCATATGATCAAAACCAACACTGAGCCTCTCCCATTCTTCGCCCTGGGACTGCCAAATCAGGCCCATGTAAGAAACCTCTTCACTCTTCCCAAAGAAAGTGCTACTTTTTAGCTATTCCATTTACACAGCTGAGTGATTCTACTAGATCCAAGTCCAATTTCTATTTTTATTCCTGCTCGCAAAATTTACACCCAACACTCAGTTTTGAAATCCACCACAAATTCTGAAGTTTCTCAAGAAGTTTTGACTTCTCCATAGCTTTAAGCAATACAGGAACATCAGTGCAGTTACTAAGAAGTCAAAGCTCAGTGCCAACGCAAACATTATTGACTTCCCTCATCTTCTCAAGCCACTGTCAGATCCAAGAAGGGTGCCATACAGATTTACTGTTCCAGTATCATCTTTATAGAACAACTGGATTCATCTTTATAGATCAACTGGATGAACCAACGCCAGTAACAGCTACCACTTGGCTCATCAGACTTCCTAGGCTGATTTGTCTAGCAGCTCCAACAAAAATACCATTTTTTCTCCACTTCTTCAAAGCAGTAAGGAACCACATCATTAAGTGGAAATGCTTTTTATCGCCACTGCCGTTCTTCTTCACCTAGCACTTTGGAAGGGATTAGCTTTCTTCAAACGCTTTAAAGCCTCAGTAATTTTGCCATTTCTGTTAACTATTGCTTCTTTTGCTTTTTACTTACTGTGGAACTAGCAGGGGGATAGGATCCCTGTGTGCCTTTATTGCTGCTGACAAGCTATGTTAGAATGTGTTTAGTATTTGGCTTTGCTGATTGACAATTTGTCACCACTGGGGAGGGGGGGAAGTGTCAAATTGTACCACCTCAATTCAACAGTGAACCTCTTCAAAAAAGGTAACTAAAATCAAGTGCAAGTTCAGCTGAGGTCCTGATAGAGAAGAAGGAGTTCTCAGTTACATTTCACTAAAAATTTATTCACTTTGCATTTCAAATCTGTACTGGGGCTCCTACAACCTGTTCAAGAACAATCTTTAAAGCAGGACCTACTGCTCCTGGCAGACCACAAACAGACACAGCTGGAAAAGCCTATAGTTCAGTTCTACCTTTTAAAAAATGGCCTGAGTCCAACAGATACACAGCTACAGGATCTGTCTCTTTCCATTTCGACAGCAGGAGAACCAGGTAAGGCAATATGAAATGCAAGATCAGAGCAGTAGAACAGGCACGATGAGTAAGCACTTAAATCTTTTGCCAGCTTTAAAACCACTGGCTGCATTTCCCCCACCCCTCCAACTCTCCTCCCCTTACCTGAACTTGCTCACAAATTGGTGGTGTAATGCAGGAACTTGTCGATAGTAGGTTGGCCATGGTGCTTTCAAAGTCAATGCCCGCTATTCTGAAAGTCTGTAATTTCATCAATGAAAATCCACAAGGGAAACTCTGGAATCAACTAAGCATGATGTTTTAAGAACAAGATGTGCCAATTATACTTGAAAAGTTTAAATAACTTGCAGGAGCTGCTCAGTGCAAGTATTTATTCGTATTCAGTATGTAATTAACTAGTTACAAAGATCTTCCATGCTACTACATGTTGCCACTTACACTCAGGAGTGTATTGAATGCTACTGAGTTGAGGCCCATATGAAAATTTTTCAGATCTCTCTCTGTAATCGGATGCAACATAACTAGGGTCAGGAACAGTTCCAGTTCTCAGTTCCTCCTCAAATCAGTATTTAACATAAATAATTTAGTCTCAAATGTATGTTCAAGGATGAAGTACCAACACCATCAGGGAATCTCTTTATCTTGCAATTCAATAAAATAGGTCCCACTTTACAACACAGGAAAGCAGACTTCTGCGCAAGCCTAACACCACCATATATACTGTTTAAGAAAAAAATGTAAAGGTCAATTGGAACTAGACTGAACTGATTTTATTTCCTTCCAAAAAGAATAGACACTAATTTAACTGTATACAGAACTATAACTATACAAGTTTCAGTATATCGTCCTGTTCAAAAACTTATATATATATATAAAAAAAAAATACTGCCAAAATTCTAATGCATACTTTACAATTAAATGCCCCATCTTTCTTTCTACCCTTAATAACCTCGGACTAGAGCTGCAGTGTTCAAGGTCAACTTCTGTACAGATGAAAATTCCCCTGCTCTTAAGCGTAGTTTCATTATTACCCATGTTTTTTCCACTACGACCAAAACTGGACTCAAAAGTAAGTTTTACAGTGTTAGCAATGAAAAGTTTGATGAACCTTGTAAGAACAGAATTCAGAAAAAGATTAAAAACAGTTTTTACTATATTAAATTATGTCACATCCCTCTAAAAATAATACTTATGCATTGCTGTTTATTAATGTCACATTTTACTATCGTATCTGCAAATTTCTTAAACACTTGAACAAATGAGAAGTAACCACGTTTAGTTAGATCATCAAATCTCCACCAAGTTCTCTGAGAACTCCGAGTTCCTGTTTCAAAGAAAAAGGTGTCCAGCGAGGTTCCAAGAACTTTCACCATTATACTCAAACAAGATAGCCAAAAGAAAAAGACAATTTTCCTTTTTTTCTGGTACAGCCACTCAAAGCCTACCGTTGCCCCACTTTCTATCATTACTGCATTTGGACCTCCGAGATTCCTTACCTTGGCTAAACAAAGGTGCCCATATAGATATTTATTGTACTGTTTTACCTAGTTGCTGTCCAGGCACCCTAAAATCTCCCCACTACTCTGCCAAGCCTCCAAATCCATCGTTCCAGTTAGCGGAAGTCTATGTCACTCAAAAAACAGAGAGTTAGTCACCAATTCTGCTTAGGCACACCACCTGCCACAGCATGGTGTAATTTCATCTCATATCATTGTAACTGGATGCAAAGTAAAGGAAACTTGAGTTTATTTAGCTTCCAATTTCTGGGAGGTCAAGAGGAACTAGGACTGCTCTGGACAACAAAAGAAAATAGACTGTGCTTACAGATCATTTTCTGCCATATTCTTTCTTTAGGACCACTGTTTTATTGTTGCCCTTTCTATTACATGGGATGTACATATTATCAGGTGTTAATAAAAAGTCAGTGCCTGTACAATACATTCTACAACTGAGCACCACTTTCCGTAACTGAACAGGCAAAGAAATTACACTGAACATCAGCATCTGGCAGTATTTCTCCAAAAAAAGTGACTAAAATGGGTTTAAATTGATTAACACTATTAAATCACATCTAATATTTGATACTACATGATTTCATTACAGCTATACGATACAATTATACAAAATGTGTTAACATCAAAGAATACAACCAAAATTAAGATAGCAAACAAAACCTATATAACTTTTTTCTTTACAGGAAAATACTTTTGAAGTATGCATGTAACTGCCCATTCTTTTAAAGAAAATCTACCGCAAGCAAGTTATCAACCTCCAGAAAAATCACACATAGCATTACTACGCATATCCCCAAAAAGTGTACAATATGCACACTTGGAAAATACAAAATTAAAAAAATTGTAAGCAACAGGTGAGCTTCATATTTATAAGAATGTGAAAAGAAGTCCAATTTTAGCACTGTTGTATAAAGAATTGTCTTTTTTGATGCAAGTTCATGAACTAACCCCTTCGGTTGGGGCCACACTTTACAAAACACCGTGTTCTTGAAACGGGATTACAGAGCAAGGTAGAGCATCTTAGCCACGTCACCTTAAAGTTTTTTTTTCTGGCTTTTTTTTTTTGCTTTTTATTTACTACTTATCAAAACACGTCCTTTAGGTTTGTAGGGTTCTTTTTTTAAAATTCTTTCCTAGAAACAATATACAAAGGGGAGGCATATTTATTTCCAATTCATACTCCTGTAAGATGCTTTGAGTTCAAGAAGTTTCTCCTCCAACTTTCACTGGTTGTTTTTGGCCTTAGCGTGTGTTAAGATGTGAGATTTCAGGTTAGTTGATTGCGCAAACTTCTTATTGCAGCCGTCAAATGGGCAAACATAGGGCCTGTCGCCAGTGTGAATTCGCACATGTGTGCGTAAATTGAAGTCCAGTGAAAAACGCTTTCCACATCCTTCAAACGTACACTGTTGAAAGGAAAAGACATACTCCATTAGCTAACAAAAGTAGAGCTCATTTCAATCACTGATTAGAACAATATTCTTTATATCACTAGACTGCACAAACATGAAGCTAGATGCTGAAGATTATTACAGGTGGAGCTGCAGGCATCACTTTTAAACTGTATTTAAAAAAAAAAAAAAAAAAAAAAATTTATAAATTTTTTTTACACC